ACCACAGGGACGGGAATAATTAATTTATTATATTAATTTATTAGCAAGTATATGATTGAGAGGTGATTTGACATGATGGAGACACTTGGGATAAATCACTAAACTCACTTTTCAATCGTTTTCTTATAACGAAAATCCGAGATTGATTACACGTGCTTTACCGAATTGATAAATGCTTTTTGTTAAGTAACTTGTTCGTCAATAAATAAATTTTTTGTCTATAAGTCAATTCACAGGCACATTTTTCCAATGCTTCATTTTTGCATCAATTATATATATCTAGTTTTGAACCGATTAGTTCTTAACATGAACTTTTTATTATGAAGAGTTTGTGATCTACCAAGATGCTGCCGAACCCTGTTAAAATACTATAGTTATAAAATAACTATCGCCTATATTAGACTATTGAAAGATAATATATAGTTGTTTATTAAGATACAATAATACGATGTTGAAGATTGATAGATGATCGATATATTATTCGAGTTTGATTCTTAATGTTATAATGTTGTTGAGTTAATGTTGATGTTACTTAGATTTAGTTGATACTAATTTAAGAAGTTTCTACAATTTTATTTTATTTTTCAAATTTATACATTTTTTGATACAAGCGACAGTCCATTACATTCATTATCCAATCAGGTTATTGGCCAGTAATTTAGTTGCTTCGGATTCAAGAAATCTGATTTCTTAGAAAGAAGCATTAATGATTGAGGGTCCATTTATGCGTTACAATATAAATTAATAGTTGTATTAATATTTTGTAATAAAGAAAATAGGATTCATTTTTGCTATACTGTATGAAAGTATCAAAATATATCTATATAATTACATTAGACTAGGGTTGAGCCTTAGGCGTTAACAATCTCTCAACCACGCGTTTTTTTCTCTCTTAAACCTCGCGTAATTAAAATTTGCTAGGAATTATTTGTTATATAATTCTATCATTATGTAAGTTCATTTTCAATTACTTTTTCTACTGTCATGTAACTACTCCTACAGTTTAATGATCTAAAAACAATTTCTACCGACACTAAAAATCATAGTTTTCAATCTATTTCCAAAGCCCTGAATCAGAACTCTGAATAATATTTTTTTGGCACAACAAGCAACACAATGATACGATATATTATATAGATATTAATTTAGCAGTTTGTGATAATAAATTACTCACTCACCTTATCACGTGTGATCCACATCTGGTTCCATACCAATATTATCAGTCGTTCACCTAGAATATAAAATGATAAAATATATTAATTTTGATGGATACGTTATCAATAAATACTATAATCTATATGTTATGCGTTTAAAAAATTTTATCAAGAGGTAATAAAAGTCCCTTGTCCTCGATATTGTCAAAAAAAACCGTTTTGCAGGAGATTATAAAGATTAATCTGTATCTATTTATCGATATATAAATATATATATATATATATATATATATATATATATGTATGATAGGTACTTCAAGTGTTGAGTTCATCAAACTCTTGTCCTACTTACTTCGCACAAGACTAAAAAAGCGAAAGTTGACTGTCTACATACATAAATACATACAAACATACACACAAATATATATACATAAATTTAACACTGAATCTGACTTTGCCTCATGCTTGGATTTTTGAAAAATTGTTAAAATTTATTACAACTCCAATCATAATTTTTGTGTTACATGAACGCCTCATACATGCATTGTATTTATTATTAATATATTTATTTCATAATGTTCAATCCCCAATTTTTCTTATCCACTGATGATGACAAAATTATGTATAGAAACGTATGAAAAAATATAATATATGTATTTTTTCATATAGTTATAGATATATACTTCTGCGTGCATATTGTACTAAAAGGAAAACTTTGCAGAACCTTCCAAATTATTATCGATTTTTTTATTAAAATGATTTCAGTTTTGTTAATAATAATAATAATAATAATAATATATATATAAAGATATGTGTGTGTCTTTGTATATATAGGTAACCATTTCTTTATGGAATCGATTACTTTCTCTATGTCAACGAACTCTTTCAATAATAATTATTAGTTAACGAGCTTCTAACGTGAAAGTTTCGCCATCATAAGAAAGTGTGATGTTTTTTACACACACTTGCAAATAATTCACAAGAATATACACTTTCACCTGCTGGCATACAAGTATACATACAAATCACGTCGATTTTTATATCTTCAGAAGAAAGTGAAAATAACATAAAGGTATATATGGCTTTTATAAGATTGATCGATCATGGAACATTGAACTTTCGGAGGAGAAGTGGTTTACTTGTACGTCATTAGAAATTCCATTAGAATTTTGTGATTGTTTTGTTAAGGACAATTATAAAGCAATATAAATTCGGTGCTGTAAATTGGTAGATTTACGGTTTTATTATGGCTTCATAAATTAATTCGATTAACGCTACATTGGAAAAGATGTATTATTCAACAATAAGTCATAAATATTACACTATAGTAATTTTTCTATTTTGACACGTATTATAGTACAATAAATTCAATATTATGACTAAATATTGAAATTGTTTTAAAATAA